GGGGTGGGTGGGGGATGGGCTAGATGAATGATGGGTATTAAGGAGGCACTTGTTATGATGAGCACTGGGTGCTGTATGTAAATGATGAGCCACTGAATTCTACCCCTGAAACAAATATTGAACTCTATGTCAACTGACTAGAACTTAAATAAAAAAAAAAAAGAAGAAATCATTAGTATTTGGTTTGGATATATATTCTCTGATTTTCCTTACTGATACTGCTCCATACCCTGACTACGGACACTGTGATAGATGGCTGAAATGAGAGAAGGCAGTTGGGGCAAGTCAAACTGCACAATTTTTAGTGAAAGTGAAACTAACAAGAAATTTAAATTACCTTTAATGAATTGAAATCTAGAGATACATCCAAATATGCATCAACCCCTCACCTTGGCATCCACTGAATAGACGTTGAGGACAGGATACTAGGTAGTAGTTGAATTTGAGGCCTGCAAATAATTAAAGGTAAAGCAGATTATCAATTTGATGATCGAAGAGTGATTCTTTTAAATATATATGGGAATTTAAAAAGCACTTAACCCCAACACAACCCTTAAATCCTCTTTCAACCTCTGTTGTTTGGAAGGTTTCCAATGGTCTTCAATCTCTCTAACTGGTGATATAGAACAATTAATTATGAATGCAGTTGTAAAGTCATGTATATCGCCAATTAGAGTCCCATTAGGAGAGAGATATTCTGTGATTTGTAATGAAATCTAGAACTTCCACCCTTCATTGTTTTTTTTTAAAGATTTTATTTATTTATTTGAGAGAGAGAGAGAGAATGAGAGAGAGAACACGAGAGGGGGGAGGGTCAGAGGGAGAAGCAGACTCCCTGCCAAGCAGGGAGCCCGATGTGGGGCTCGATCCTGGGACTCCAAGATCATGACCTGAGCCGAAGGCAGTTGCTTAACCAACTGAGCCACCCAGGCGCCCCTCTTCATTGGTTTTTAAAAAAGATTTATTTTTTAATTTGAGAGAGAAAGAGAGGAGAGAGAGAGAGAGAGAGCATGTCCAGGGGGAGTGGAGGCAAAGGGAAAGAGTCTTAAGCAGACTTTGGGCTAAGTACAGAGCCTGACATGGGACTCGATCTCACGACCCCGAGATCACAACCTGAGCAAAAAACCAAGAGTCTGATGCTTAATCAACTGCACCACCCACGTGCCCCCACCCTCACTGTTTTTACTTATGGTGTTATGATATGACAACAGTGATGATAATGTTATAATAGTTACTTCCTATGAATTAAACAAGTTTACATTTTGATGAATAATTTATTCCTTTATTATTCTGCTCTAGGTCAAAAATACTTAAATATGTACACAGCAATTCAAAATATTACTAAAATCTGTACTTATTTAGTGACTTAAAAATTGTGCAATTGATTGAACACATTTGCTCCTTTTCAAACTAATTTTAAACTCAATTTCTAAATGAGAAGAGTGTGAGGAAGTTTAATATAAGGTATATGAAAAAGGAACATACACCTAGAATAGTAAGATATTTTAGCTCCCCTATTTGCTGTTTTTCTATGCACAGAGTATTGGAAATACCATAAGACATACTGTTTTGTCATTCAGAGTTCAACAGAGTCCTCCGACCTGTGTGCATGCATGATATATACACAAACCATAACGTGGGAAGAGCTACTAGAACCAGATGGGCTTGAGATGCCTGAGACATTACCATTCTTCCCTGCTTATGTCACCCAGAGTAGAAGAATCTTTTTTCTCTTCTATTTTCTCTGAGTCTGATGCTCCCTCAGATCATACCAAGTCCTTTCCCAGTACCATACCTTATTCTGGATTCAGAGCTAACAATACCTCTATTTCTGTTGTCCTACATTGAGGTTATTCATAGTTTTTCTCTATTATAAATAGTACCACAGTGAATAACTTTGCACATAAACTATCCTACATGGTTCACTTTAAAAGAAACTTACATAAAACTAATGTTTGTTAATTCGAACCCAGAAGGCATACCTATTAGACATGTGTTACTCATGTAAAATGGAAATGGAAAATATTTGTCTTCTCCCAGTTACTTACTATTTGCCTCCCTCTTTTAATTTTAAGTTCCTTGAGGGCAAGGGTTATGCCTTGAAAATTTTTGCCTTTCCTGTGAGTGCAGAATTATTCCCTCCGTAATACTCAGTAAAAGTTTGCAGTCTTGAACTGAATATGAAATGGCTTTGAATAGTCAGCAAACCAACACCTATTTTTGCCTCCACAAGCTACAATGCATGTGAAGGATTTCACCGGTTCTCTTTACACACAGCATCTGCTGCCAACAGGTGATCCATTCTGGGGAGAAGAGCCTTGCCAGAGGGACTTTCCTTTACTAACATCCTCTTTCCAGATGTTTGTTCCCTGTAGTCTATCCTGAATTATGAGCCCCCGGGAGGCAATTGCCATCGCTGAGATGACATGTCACACCTGGAATTCGACACTCTTCCCCCACCGCACATTTTCCCGAAGTTAAACGTCAAATCTAAGTTTATTGCTAAGGGATTTGGTTCTTTCTCTGTGAAGCCAAATATTGTGCTTAATATTAGTTTACCACTCGTGTTTACCACTTTAAATATAAATAGACATGTAAAGATGAAACTAAACTATTTTTAAGATCAGGTGGAATTGACAAAATAATATAGAAGATAGAATTCATGGTCTTATGGCACTCCATCCTTTTTCTTAAATATACATACCACTGTCTAAGGTTGAATTAGTTATATGTTTGGAATATGTAAATTAGACTGACCTCTGTGTACTGTCTTCTATGAAGAAGGAAAGTACTATATAACTTTTTTTTAAATAGTGGCCATTGGTATGTATGTAATTATGTATATGTATATATGTACACATGTATTTCATAGTTCACTATTTCAAACCTGTACCCACATCCACATATCCAGATTATAGTTTTGTTTAATGTAAGTTGATTGTTATTAACTTTCCTATTCACCAATGAGTCATACACACTTTACTTTCCTCATAGGATATCGTAATGTCTTTATTTCTGTTCTGTTTCAGTTAAGTTAAAAAAGTCTTCTATTTGGAATGGTTTTTATTTTATTTTATTTTATTTTATTTTATTTGCCTGGGAACAGCTCGCTGAAGGGTTTAATGATAATATGTTTTAAATGCCAATTAGAGAATGTCATTTAGAAACACTTACAATGGTATATTACTTAGAAATAAGCTTTTTTTTCAATCCTAGCAACAATTGCATATAATCAAATACTTTATATTTACAATCAAATCATTTTAGGGTTTTTTGTCGCAAAGATTTGCAACAAAATCAAAGATGATATTCAAAGTAAAGATAATTTAATTTATCCTTGTAAAAATTATAATTACCTTTTTAAAAATAACTGTGAATGCATATCTCTTGCATACAGGAAGCCTAAGAATGGAACAATTAAAAGAATTCTGGAAAAAGTCATATTTTTCTAAAAATTATCATGATATCTAATTACCATTTATTAGTTTCAACCTGGGAACTTCAACATACTATAATTTGTATAGAGTAAACTAAAACTTAAGGCACAGGCCAGTCTTATACACTAACAAACTGATGAAGTGGTGAAAGCATGGGAAAAGGGCAGTAGTAAAATTAAATTCAAAAACCATATATGCATTTTAAGGCATCTAATAATAATAGCTAACACTGATGCCAGGGACTTTCCTAAGTTCTTTAAAATATCCTGGTTTATTTAATCCTCACAGCAGCTATATGGGGTTGGTACCAAAATTGTCTCCAGCTTTCAGATGAAGACACTGAGACTGAGATACATACATACATTGCCCTGGATGACACAGCGAGTAGAGAACCCAGGATTCATATCCATGCCATTTGAGGATGAAGTGAGACCATTTGATATTTGAGGGAATATGGACATTTTAATTAGAAGTTCACTTAGAGATTTTCTTTTTTTTTTAAGATTTTATTTATTTATTTGAGAGAGAGAGAATGAGAGATAGAGAGCACGAGAGGGAAGAGGTTCAGAGGGAGAAGCAGACTCCCCGCTGAGCAGGGAGCCCGATGTGGGACTCAATCCCGGGACTCCAGGATCATGACCTGAGCCGAAGGCAGTCGCTTAACCAACTGAGCCACCCAGGCTCCCTCGCTTAGAGATTTTCCTATCCAGCATTCCCAAAGTGCATTCCATGGTCACTAGTGTTATCAAATGCTCTTGAATAAAAGCTTCCATATTCTAATACATCAGAAAACAAAAAAAAAAAAAAAAAAAAAAAACACAGACAAATACCATATAAACTTTTCCCCTTCACTCTTGGAGATTTACCGTAAGCATAACAAAGTTTCTAAGAAATCCCAGAGTAAAGAGATCTGTTTTCCCCAGTGGTTTCCAGCCATCACTGACAAGAAAACTCTTAATGAAGACACCTTTCAAGCCCTTAGGAAATGAGTCCCTTCAAATATAAATAGTTAGAAAGTCCAGCCCTACTATCTGGCAGATAGAAAACTGAGGTTGCCAATGCCCTTGTAACCCTGAAATCGTACCTCCTAATCCTACACATTTGACCTCACTCGCTCTTAAAACAGCATGTAGGCATAACTTTTTTGCTATTTTAAGTTTCTTCCAGATTTCCATTTTTATTAAATCATCTCCACAAGAAAACCATCATTATAGTGAAGATACATAGATGGAACAGACAGAGTGACTACATTCTAGTTGACAACACAAGCATGCACAATAAAATTTTAATTTATGTAATATTCAGATTTTTTTGGTTATTAAACATTCCATTTATCTTGAAGTATTTAATATCTAAAAATTAGAGAAAAATAAAACCAACCAATGAACAGAAAACTCTAGGAGAGTCCTGAGGATCTGGAGAAATCTCTTGCATGGTGACCATGAGCCATAGGTACATTTCACCACCACAGTCTTATTGTATAATATCATGGAGCTGATCAAATGTAGTTCAAAAGAATTTTTTTATGTATTTTTCTGACCACTGCATGTTTTGTCATTTCAGTTCCTCCGAAGATATATGACATCTCAAGTGATATGACCATCAATGAAGGAACCAATGTCACCCTTACTTGCTTGGCCACTGGGAAACCAGAGCCTTCCATTTCTTGGCGGCACATCTCCCCATCAGGTAAAGGAGAAATATATCAGTGTTGTTTGTGCTGTGGTGTTCAATATTTTCCTGTAACCTCTTTTGTTCAGAACCTAAGAGTCTACTTATATTTTTTACATCTTTTTCATGAGGTAAGTGGGATGCATATTTTTATACTTAATCTTTATACCTCAATGCACTGTAGTTTACAAAAATTAAATAAATGAACAGTTTCTGTCAGGGCCCAGAATAGAATCTGTGTCTCTTGATTCTTAGTCAAGGTTATTTTCATTTTAGTATACTGGATAATCACAAATCAATAGACAAAAAACTCAAATGGAAATATCACAAGAGAAATATCTTCATTTAAATGTGTAAGGCTTTTATCCAATCGTCATTCACATGTTAATAGGCCAGCATGAACTGCTAAGGTAATCAAGGGAGAATGAAATTATACAAATTACGAGGTTGCTAGGTCTAACTTCAAAATGCAGTTCAGAATCAAGGATTTGGCAGTTAGCATTAAATTTTAACTGATGAGGGACCTAAAAACCCAAGACTTTAAGTAACTTGTACAAGATCACATAGCTAGGTGAAATTAAGGGATATAACATTTTTAAGGGTTTCTGGTGCTTCTGCTACAGTGCACATGCTCTGAAAGAGATTAAATCAATTTAGGAAGTTGGGGATAATCATCATCAAAATAAGACTTTTCACAGCCACTCTTCACAGAATCACCAATTTGTGTCAAGTTTAAATATTTGAACTATCTAGCTTTGAGTTGTACCCGGGAAGTAACAGTGGTACTTTTAATGAATAGAATCCCACCATGTTTCCAGTAAGTGAAATTTGATTTTATTTGTTTTATAGTTTTGGTGGACACAGCTCTAACAAGGCTAGTGTGATGAAATTGCTTTTAAAGAAATCAGAAAGGCACCCTTTATGTAGGTGTAGAAAGAGTACAGTTGTCACATCCTTTTTATCTGCTAATGCTTTCTTTAATATCACTTACCCTTAAGTGTCTTTCAGTTTCCTCATTTATGCAGGAGGTCTAATGAGACTTACATCACATGCTAAGTGTTACTATTAATGTGAGAAAAAATCAATAGAATGGCAGTATACACTTATATAATATGCATTATGGCCCCTATAATATTTCCGAAGCATGAATGTGCTCTTGACTGCCAATACTCCACTGCTTAGAGCAGCTACAGGATCATAAAACTGGTATACAAGCACTGACGTAGTGGCAGGACTCTCCATGGGGTATAAGTGAGACAAGGGCTAGCAGTTAGGATACACCTGCTTTTATCTTAAGGTCCTTATACATCCATTCAGCCAATCCTCCTGCAAATCTCATCGCCTCAGTTACTCTCACCTCATTGTCTACTTTCCAAAAATCAAATAATAAAAATCCCTAGCTATTGTGAGACTCAAAAAAGATAATAACCATAAGTGTGCTTTGAAAAAGTATAAGGTGATATGCAAATGTATGGCTGATTCTTAATCATCTTTCCAGGGATTTAAATCTGATATGGCAATATAATTTTTGTGAGAATGAAGCACCTAATCTCCATCTTCATATAATTTAAGATTAATATTTTGGACTGAACTCTCCTGCTTTGCAGTGCTTGTTATTATGCATATTCTTTTTTTAAGTGCTTGGATACATTTTGGTTTAATTAAATAGCGTGAATGTTGGCTAGTGAAGTTATTAGAATAATGATAATGGATAACATCATGAAGCTGAAAGAAGTCAGATTGGGTTTATAAGTTAAACTGTGCATGGATTTATTTTTGTGATCCTGCCATACAGAGCAAATGAGTAAAATTAGCATAAATATTAACTGTTATCCAATGAATAGCTAGACATGGCTGATATATTTATAAATGCTTCCAATAATTTCAAATTATAATTTGTTAGTGATCTGTATTAAAATGCATAGCACTGTGGAATTCCTGCTCTAAGTAACATGTCTGATAATTCTATTAAATTTCTTCAACTTACATGTTTATATTTGAAAGCCAAATTATAAACTTCATTGATCTGTCTATATTTTACCTAAAAAATATCAACATTTTGCATACTCTCATCTTTTGCTGTATCACAAAAGAAAATGTGTCTCAAAAGAGTGGTCACCATATGAACAGTGGAGAGTGTTAAAAACAGATCCAGATACACTCCCTGTCATTACTAGAAATAATGGTTAGTTTTTGTACATGTGTGATTTGTTTAGGTTTTTTTTTAACCAGTACTTTTGTGAATTCTTGCTGACTCATTCATGGTCTATATCAGTTTTAAAAATCAGTTAAAAAATGTCTGGTCACAGGATGATAGCCCCACAGAGCTTCTCCCTAATCCACAAAAAAAATTAGGTTGTGGGTTCAAGCATACCACAAACGTTGCCTGAACTAACTGGAGGTGTCATTCTATAGCAATCCTGGAATAGGGCCTGGGCCCTGTTGTGCATACAGAGGGTGATTATAGAATTAGTAGTAAAAAATATTTATATCATGCAAAATATAAGGAGGCAATTGTTCTATCATGAGAGATTTAGATAGTTTCATACATCTCTATTTACAAGGGATACTACTGTTTTACCTAAACTATGACTAATTTCTTATATACTTAGAAAATTTTCAAGGTTTTCTCAAAATTCATACTATAAGGTGTATGATTCCCTTTATTCCTACCAGTAATTTCTTAGGCATTAGGTGGTTCCAGTGTAGTTCAGTGATTAAGATCATGAAATTTACATCAGTCAGAATTGGATGTGAGACCCAGATCCTCATCTTACAATCTGTAAGATCTTCGACAAAACTGTTAACTTCTTTAAATATTTTAAATATAAAATAGTGATACTAATTGTCCCCATTTCATAGAATTGTTATGAGTATTAAATGGAATAGTATAGAGCTTTGAACAGAGTCCATGACTTACAGTAAATATCCTGTAATAGTAGCTATTAATTTACTACTGAAATCTCTTTAAAATTTTGATCAAATGGAATCTCCAACCCTCTTTCTAAAATTGAAGGGCCTACTTATAACTCTTGAATGCAATTCACATATCCAAATGAGGGTATCATAATGCTAAAGCTCACTTAAAACTTTTAGAGAACATTGACAAATTTATACAAGGCATCTGATTTTGAATCTCTTTATATTCAAAATAAAGTTCTTAATCATAAATCATTGCATTAATAAATCTAGACCAGTCAGAAAAAGAATAAGAAAAGTTAAAAGATAAATTTTAAAATAATAGATTACCAAAAATATTATTACAAAATACAAAAAATAATAATAATAGATTACAGGCAGATAACAAATATGGAGGCATTTTGAAAGTCTCTATCAAATTTCCACTTATTATTCATTGTTGCTTGTCTGAATCTTTGCTTCCTAGTTCATTTTTATACCTTGATATCTGGAATCTCCAGATATGTTCTCATTCTACCCTGCTGGTGTTTATTAGCTGACAAAGATATTCTTTTGGATCTGGAGCTAAAATATGATCATAAACACTGAGTTGTATGTCTTAAACTACTTTTTTTGTCTAATTTCCATATGCTTAGTTCTGTTTGATGGAATATATCACCCTAATTATCCGTAGAAGTTAAGGCTCTTGCCTAACTCAAAATAAAGACTGTTCAGTTATGTCCCTTTGTCCTGTTATGTTCTGGATTCCATTCATCCCTTCCCATTTGTCAGTTCCTTATCCCATTAAGTATCTCTTCTTTCCCTGCATCTTTAACCTGTTCCCCTCTATTGACTCCATCCTGTCCACAAACTCAAGTTATTCTTTTCTGGCATCAATCCCTTGACACTTTTGTTTATATCAACAATTATTGAGCCCTTTTAAAGGAAACCACAAACAAGTGGTCAGAGATACAGGAATAAAACCAAAAAACATGATTTCAAAGAGACCAAAAGAAGAAAAGTTTTTCTGGAACAGTGAGCGGTAAACAATGTCAATCAGATCAAATAAGATAAGACCCAAGGAGTTACTTTTAGGTCAGGTAGTTTGGGGATCATTGTGGCAGTTCAGTGACATAATGGATCAAAAACCCAGTTGTGGAGAATTAAAGAGCAAATAAGAAGTGAAGAATTTTGACAGGGAGACAAAACTATGCATCCAGTTAGTCAAAGTGGAAATTTAGTTTCTCTACTTTTACACATGTTATTTCTTCTGTTAGGAATATTTTTTCTCCCTTGATACAAGTGACAAACTCCTACTCATCCTTCCAACTTTTAGAAAATTGTTCCTGAGAAACCCAGGAAAAATTGGGTGCTTTTCCTTCCATAGTTGCCTAGTACCTTGTGCCACCACTTGTGTGGAACTAATTCTCTAAATTGTAGTCCTTGGTCTTATTTGTCTATGGCCTCAGGGAACAGGGAATTCCCTCTGCCCAGAAACTGTTCATCTTTGTAACCCTTGGCTTAGCACAGGGCTTGATACAAAGTAGGGACTCCATAAATACTGCAGAGTTAATGGATGCTGCCATCTGTCCTTGCTTCCCACATAGCCTCTTAGAACTAGAAATTAAAATTTAAACTGATAACAGGGTAATGACACAGGGAAGTATTTCCTTTCTTGTATGCCCCCCAACCTCTACCCCCTAATATAATGGTACACATACCCCTAAATATAAATCAGCCCTTTATTTTCCTTATAGTTTCAATATAGCTGCACCTTTGTGATATTATGATTTACCATAAGAAATATGTTTGGTCTTTGTCCCACTTCTTGCACAGAGCTCCTAAAACCCTTAGAATTTCCTGTGATGAAACCAGTAAAGGTATCTTTTGTAATGTTAATGAGGTGACTTTGGAAACACATCAAAGGATGGGACTAGGGTTACCAGGAGAACCAACCATGAGAATAGAGTTGGAATTTTCAATCACACCCACCTAGACCACCAGGGAAGGGAGAGGAGCTAGAGGTTGAATCATCCACCAATGGCCAGTGATTCAATCAATTGTGTGTATGTAATTAAGCCTCCATAAAGAGCCAAAAGAACAGAGTTCAGAGAACTTCT